CAAGCAGCCGTGGAGAGAGCTGCGGTCCGAGGGCGTCGTTACGATGATATACGCGTGCAAGGGGTGTTATTTGGATTTCATTACGTCCCGTTCGGGGTACTCCTCGTGAGCACTCGCCTCGCCCGATGTGGGTGCTCCTAAGAATTTCAAACAGCCAGCCAGGGGAAAAATATTGGGTCAGCTCGTCGCGCGATCTCTCAAATGATCTTCCGTTCGTGAATCGCTGAACGGGCTGGTAAATATAACGGGCAGGGGGAGACACTGGAAATCCACCATCCTTCTGTTTCTATCAATGAATTTCGCTAAAAGTTATGTGACCCTTTGATTTAACTGTTTCCGATACGTTGGTTTAATTTCTATTACATTTCAATTATATTTCATAGCTGGAACGAGTCTTTTGCTATTTTTCATGAAACATCTATTATATTACTTCCGATTTTTAGAGACTGGAGATTTTTTTTTTTTCTCATCCCGGAGGAGGGGAATGAATCAATTGCCTAAACTAAACGATACAATATGTGATTAGTCGATAACCGTCAGTTATTGTAAATCCAAGTATGCTGAAATATTAACAATGCGCAGACCTGTTTCCTTTCGTAATTATTAAAAATGTGTTCTCGCAAAATTCTATTCACTGATAAAAATAAAAAATACTCGTTTTAAGGTAAAAAGAAAAAATAAATGATAACAATTATAATATAATTGAAATAAAAATATTGGTTTCTTGGCTATTGCATCTGAAAGAGTTAAGAATATTCGTTTCAACCGATTGGACGCTTTTAACCGAAAATTGATACGCGAAATTACAAAAAGGGGGAATTGTATAATAACCGGTAGCGCGGAGGATAGCATTCGAGGAAAGAGCGAAACGACAATCGCGATCGAGTCGATTTGATTTGATTTCATGCCGAAATGGAATCGCGCTAATTTCATCCCCACACTCCTGTCGCGCGTACAATGGACGAAAGTTGCGAACCAGGCTGATCGCGTGTCGGTAGATTAATTTTCATAACTGTGATTATTGGATGAGTTTTGAACCACAATTCGAGCCACGAGCAGCCGAGATATTGTTATCTGAGTCGATTAATTGGACGGAAGTCGACTTTCATAATTCGCATGGGAAGAACAGAGTAATTACATTGCCGAAGAGTGAAAATCGAGAAATTCGTGTCATTTTATATTTCACATTTTATATCGGGTTTTAGGTTCGAATTTTGGCTCGTGGAATTTTTTAACAGCTTTTTATACTTCGAATATAAATAAATTTATCTCCGTATATTATACTCGGTATATGTTATATATTTCACGAGACTTGGAGAAAATTGGTTTGCAATATACTTTTGCGAAAAGTGCCTGACAAACTTTTCTTTCAGTTGAACGACAAATACGTTAATGAAAGAGAAAAACTACTGGCATTGTCAATAAAAAGAGGATTGTTCCCCAAGAAGAAAGAAAGAAAAGCTTTAGTGTTTCAGTGGAAAAATTAGGTAAAAAGTTTATCTATATTTCACTCATATTCTGATCTTTACGAGACATCTTTTTCATAACAATAAATATTGAGTCTGATATTTTCAAGTCTTCCTGAAAATTTCCTTACAAATTCGTTATGCTATAATGTAAAGTATGTTGTATGTTTTTAAGCCAATATCTGGCATAAAGTTGCGCGGGGGTAAATAATTTGCAAACTCGTCGTAAACTATTCTTCGCCAGCAGTCGCAGCTCGATGGAAAACTCCAATAATCTGATTCGGAGTTCAAGTTCGAACACCGTGTTCTAAATAATCGGCATTCTAAATAAAGTATTTCGGAAAATCGAATTTAAACGACTCCGGTCTGAATAACACAGGCAGAAACGAGATTCGTAATGCATGCTTTCATAGATGGTACAGATATCGAGGGTGGTCTCAGTTTCGAGCGCGACCCGGATATCCATTTTACTACGGCGAAGAGCCCACTTCCCATTCGAAATCGAATCTTCGTATTATCTTGGCATTTCATCCGCCTAGGAATATTTACGGACTAAAAAAATTATTTTCAAATTCCTGCCCTGAAAACTTATCTCGTGCTCTCGAGCAGAGCGAATTGGCTACGAGAACTTGAAATATTCTTCGACGAAGGAAAACTCGTGAATTCGCTTTTGATATCAATCTATCTACACATGGTCGTCTGTATATCGATACAATAAATTATAAATACAATAACGAATCGATGGAAATTCACCGTTGATGAATCATTGAAATTTCTGCATGTGATTCTGATACGACGGATAGCAAAGTGCTGCAAAACCGAGTAAATGAGAACACTTCGAAGTCGAATTGAAAATTCGTAGCGTTTTGCTACGTCGAACGACAGGGGAGAATGTTCAACGACGCCTAGTCCCTTAACTTTCCAGCCATCCAGCGGATTCGGTCGGTTCGCTTTCCAAGTGTACGACGATTCTAAAAGACAGCCCATCGCTATGACCCTCTCGACGCCATTGGGGTTTACGGTTACGGTTAAGTACAGAGCAAAGAGATCGTATCGTTTTCCGAACGATTTGGCTAATCGAGTGGCGCGGCGATGGGAGAGAGGAGAGCGGCACCAGGCAGCTATGCGTATCCGGCGGAACATCCACTCGCTGCCGACTTCCGGCTGCGGGAATTTAAACGAGGATCGAGCTTAGGGAGGAACCGCCAAGAACCTGCAACACGCGGTTCTTTTCTTCCCATAACGGCCGCGATCCTTTTAATTTGTCACGTTGTTGAGGGTTAATTTTCGAGAGTTTCATGTTGGGCAAACGGGGCGAATTCGAGTTGAAATTGCTAATTTTAAACGGGCAGGGGATGCTGTTACCTCTGACAGTAACCATTAATTTACCCATTAATAGTTCATTTTCCACCGTGTCTAGTTGAATGTTTCTTTCAATTGCTTTTTTTTCCTTCTGCTCTTTTTTAATTTCTCACTCGCGGGAATTTAAAACGAAAGAGAGAGCGATGAAAAAGTCAGCTCGCGGAGATGATTCTCTGTTCTTTTTCTTTCTAAGAAACGAAGAATTAATTATTGGTACGGTGAAGGTTGTTTCTACTTTCGCGGTCGGGGGAAATTCGTTTTATGGGCGAAAGAAGAAAAAAAGAGTTAACGGGCACCGACCGCTAGAAATTAGCTGCGAAAATTAACGCCCACGTTCCTCCGGCTGGCCGAGGTGAAGGTGTGAAATTTTTTGAGGAAGGGGGTCCAAGAATTACCTGAGAGGTGGAACACGCTCGTAGAAAGTAACGATCGCTCGAAATTAACCTTAAAACCAACGTTACTGTTCGGCCTTGGTATTTTTAGAAAGCTACGCTGGATTTTAATATCGTCCGCTGGCCAAACGA